ACACACACACACACACACACACACACACACACACACACACACACACACACACTCACATACACGTCGCTTAATTTCGACAAAAGTAAAAGCTATTTCCTTTTGGAAAAAAATAGCGGAGTTCGTTTTCTAAAATGTGTTTTCGTTTCATACTATTTTCTTCCAGTTACCCCTGGTGACGAGACTGGGTGAAGTGTGAAAGCAATAAAATCTTTACCAGACGCTCACAGTTGAATTGATCTTTGCTTTCTAACCATTCAGCACACATATATCTACAATGGTATTGTAGTCTACCTTTTTATTACAGATTAATGATACATTGAAGTTAACATCTCATAGTTTCTTCAGCTCTGTTTTTGTTTTGTTTTGGTTTTTTAGGAGGCTATTCTTGTTTTAATTCACACGTCCAAAATATTATGAAGCCTACTGTTTATTTTGTGTTGTTAATGTTTTTTTGTTTTTTTTTTTTTCTAAAATCATTTTTGTGGAGGGGGTGGTTATATACATGTTGTTTTTTATGCTATCACAATGGAAATGATAATAACAACCGTACACTGTACAACAGTGGCTCGCGCTTATTATAACAATTAATCTACACCTTATGAAACCACATACCGGAAACTCAACCTCGATCCAACCCACGCCTATAGGCTAGCTAAAAAGGGAACGACAAAATACCACACAGCTCCTCATGAACTGACACCCCGCTTGTAGGCCTATTCAGCTGGCCTGCGGTGTGTTTGGGCTTTCAAACCAGCTATAAATAAGACATCGAAAACAAAAACAAAATAGAATACACTGTACAAACAAAAACAAAATCCCGAAAGACAGAATTTAAAAAAAAACCAAAAACCGAAAAGACAGGGAATAAAACCCACACTCACACTGAGGCTGTGAAACGCTGTGGTACAAAAAAACCCACATCAACAACAACAACAACAAAAAATAGGTCAAAGTCGTAAAACTTATAAAATCTTTATACTATCGGGGAAAGCAATGATAATCAAGGAAGTGCAATAGTCTCTTGCCCATCCCACTTCATCGTCACGCCTTCTAAAAGCTGCAGCGAATTGAGAGAGAGAGAGAGAGAGAGAGAGAGAGATAGGGGGGGGGTAGAGCTGGAGAACGAGATATTGAGGTTACACGAACTGTGACAGTGACGATAACAGACTACGTAACAGCGATAACATAACGTAAATTCTATTCCCTTGGTCGATTAATCAGAAAATAAACTAGGTTGTGCAAATGACGCGAACTTGAAACATTTGTCATTGTCATTAGTATTCCTGAAGATGTCAGCGAAAGTAATGATAATACCCAAACGCCGACAGACAGGCAAGTTGAACTGTGACATAGGTACTACCTAGTACGTCATGCTTCTCTGAAACCCACCTTTAATTTGTGCCTTCGCACTGCTTCCTACTGGCCTAGTTGATGACAGTTTTTAGTGTAGACGAGTTCAATTTCTTATTCAAAGAAACAGAAAGAATTTAAAAAGTGGAAAATATTAGGGGTTGTTTGTTTTGTTTTGTTTTGTTTTGTTTTGGGAAGCGGGTGGTCTGTTTTGTTTGTTTATTTGTTGTTTTGTTTTTTTCTTTCCAGCAATTTGACTCGGACATTTTGAACCAGCAATATGATTTCGCTTCAAGGACAAATCCACAAGGTATCGCACAGTTGTTGTTTTTTTACAGTCTCGAGATTACGAAAGTTAGATCTAAATGTCCTCAAAAGTTCTGTGAATGATTCAGCATATTCATATCTGTCTTACCTAAGAGTAAGCTTAAGTTAAATGATCAATCCTGCCCTAGCGAGTGATTTCAATTCCACTCTCAGGATGATGTCATCCCAGGCCGAAATAACCTACGCTGCAAAAGATACAACAACTGATCTAAAAATGAAAGCTTCCATATTCAGGAGTAAATTGACACCCCTTGCAATATTCACACTTTTCTATTCTTGCAGCACGGCTTTTATCAAAGAAATAGCACTGTTGCCGTTCGTGGGGAAAACATTTCGATACTTGTCGTTTCGTTCAGAAAAATAACCTTGCGGCTGGAAAAAGAGATTGCTTTACATATAGATCTAGGTGATCCATGTATTCTTTCTGGTTGCCTCGTGGATAGAGTGAAATGGCTGGTCTACGAGAAAGAGAGAAAAAAAAAGAGAGAAAAAAAAAAAGAGAGAGAGAGAGAGAGAGAGAGAGAGAGAGAGAGAGAGAGAGAGGGAGAAAGAAAGAAAGAAAGAGAGAGAGAGGGAGAGAGAGGGGGAGATCTGAGAGACGTCACAAGCCTTCCCGTCTTGACTGGACTGAAGTTTCCCTGTCTTCTAATTGGGTCAAGTGCTTTGCCTTCAAACTGACTTTTT